AAAAAAAAAAAAAAAAAAAAAAAAAAAAAAAAAGCAGCAGTTGTGAACTTCCAGGGCCCTGGAGTAGTCAGACTGCGTGTCGCTTGCCACCTGGGTCAACTCTGAGGCCTCCAGACCACACGGACCCGTTGTAAGCCACCTCTGTTCTGTGCCTTCTGTTACTTATTACAGTTGTCTTTAAGCTGACTAATGGTATTAAGTTTCTTTTTCCCCGTTTTCATTACTTTTTTCTCTTTTGGGGATACCTTCCAATAGTTCCACTCTCGTACTAATGCCGACTCTCGACTCCAGTTTTCTCCCTCCGAAAGGAGGAAGAAGGGCCGCGCGCCTGCGCACCGCGGCCCAGGTCCCGCCCCGGAAGCGGACGGCGCTCGTTTCTTCCGCTTGCTGCCTTCGCCGCCATGGCGGCTGTTGCGGTTCTCCCGTGGCGGTTCACTTTGCGGGCCTTCTCCAGCGCCGTGACCCCGGCCACTCACGCTCAGAGACCTAGCCCATGTGAGTGTCTGTCGCGCCACCAAGTCCGGGCTTCGGAGAGGTGAAAGGGCGAAGAACCGGCCGAACGATGCTTGCACTTCGGCTGGCGGTGTTTTTGCGGAGGCAGCTGCTGGCTGCGCGGGAGAAGGCGGAGGAGACACCTGCGCAGCTGGCTCGCTCCGCTCGGGTTACTTTCTGGTTACTACCTCTGCTTTAAGGTCTTCAGGGCGCTGTCCACTCAGATGTTCCCGTAGGCGAGAAGGGCAGCAGCTGTGCCAGAAGAAACCACGGCCCTGAATTCTAGGTCCGCAAACGTCCTGACCTTCCAGCAGAGCGCAGGGCTGCCGATAGCGTTCGTTCCGTGGAGTCTCTAGCGGCAACGAGTGATTGTTAGGGAGAGGTTCTGTGTAGTGTGAGAGGAGCTGTAGCAGAGTGTGAGTAGAGTGACAGGGAGCGTGGAAGAGGAAAGGCGGGCAGGAACACGTCCAAGCCTCAGACCCGTTGTTCTGTTCATACTTCTCACAGCCAGTGAAGGCCACCCTCTCACTTCTAGAGTAGTTGCCTTACTATTTCGTGTTTCTAGCATTGAATTTTCACAACAGTCAGTAAGGTGTTCAAAATGCAAACCTTGTCTCGCCACTCCTTTTGTTGAAAAATCTGCAAGTGGCTTTAAGATCAGTTATAAATTCTTTACTGCATCGTAATGGCTTTTCAGCCTCCCCCCCCCCTTGTACTTGGAATTGGAATTGCTCTGAACTATGTATCTCTGCCCATCCCACTTTTTTTTTTTTTTTTTGAGACAGGATCTCACAGAGTTGCTCTTTTACCCAGATGGGCTCAGACTTGCCGTCCTCCTGCTTCCACATGTTAGGATTAAAAGTATGAGCTACCATGCTGAGCTCTTTTTTTCCCAAAATTTTTATTTTATTCTATTCTGGCCCTCAATTCCTCCCTATGTACAAAAGCTTTGTTTCCATTTTTTCCTTCTATTTTCACTTTTTTTTTCTTGCTCCTTTTCTCCATTTGAACACTTTATTCCCATTTCTCAGCCAGCTTTTTTCAGTCTTAACATTTGTCTATTTTTAATTTTTCATTGTTTTAGTCTCTGAATATTTAACTCGTGTTCTAGATACCTGGGATATGGCAACATTTCTGCCATAGGGGAGGCAGTCTGAGTATAAACAACTACATAAAATAGCAGATAGTGTTTGTTAGGAGGAAAAATAAAGCAGAATATACAGAATAAATTACTGGAGAAGTTGTGGGTATTGGGTAGGAAAGATCCCTCTTAAGGAAGTGATATTTGAGCAGAACCTAGAGCCATGCAAAGAATTGAGAAGAGCATTATTGTCATACTAAACTACAAGTACAAAGACCTACAAATGAAAATGACCTTATGAACATGATTAAAAAGCTGAAAGAGCCTGACTAGAAGTGTGTGAGTAAAAAAGAGTGGTGCCTAATCTTGTAAGGTTTTGCAGGCCCTTTTGACTTTGTTTTTATTGTAAGTTGGCGATCACATTGAAAGATTTGGAACAGGAAAATGATGTGATTTACACTTTGAAAAGATCACTGGCTGCTGTATGGAGAACCGGATTCAATGGATTGAGAGTGCAAGCCAGAGACCTGTTTGGGGTCTGTTTTAGTATTCCAGATAAGATGATGGCTTGAGTAATTGTGGAGAAGGTGATGTGCTTGGATTTAGGGTAGAGCTGTTAGTATTTACTGATGGAATCGATGTGGGGTTTAAGGACAAGTGTTGAGGATTTTTGTCCAGAGCAATTAGATGATTGGTAGTACCATGTACAGGGACTAAGAGGACTGAAAGAAGGAAACTGAGAGCTCTGCCAAACATAGGTTGTAGTTGGCAGAGCCCATTAAATACCTTCCACCTGTCTTCAGTTCTCTGTCCTATTCTTAAATTTTAGTTGTACTGAATTTGAATTTGTTTATTTAGATTTTCTGCTTTCTCTTACTTTCTTGAAACACTTGTATTCACCTGTCTGTTTCCCTGGCTATCTCCTCTCATCTTTCAGTTTTAGCTTAAAGTTTTAATTTCTCAAGGAGGTTTATTCTAAACATACTAGTCAGCATCTTCTGGAGAGAAAGAACTAAGAGGATGGTTGGTTGGATGGCTAGATGGAAAGATTTGGGAAGTTGGCTTATATGTTTCTGGAGGCTAAGAAATCTTGTATTAGGCCATCTGCATATTGAAAATCAGTAGCATGGCTTAGTCCACATCTGAGCCACAGATAAGCTAGAGAACAGATTTGCCTCTTCTCTTCCTTTCTGTCTCTCACCCTCATCATTAAAAGAATTGAGAATAGATCTTCCATGTTCTATCTCACATCAGCAGTCTCTTCTGCAAATGCCTTCACTTAGAAATAGTTTTATAACAACTCTGGATATCCTTCAGTCTAGTCAAGTTAATACCTAGCATTAACCATCACACCAGCTGCTTTCATTTCCTGTTACATATTTCCATAATACTTACTCTATTTAGATTACTTGTTAAAAATTTGTCTTATTTGATTATACATTCTGACAGCAAGAACTATGTTTTGTTCATTCCTAGTTTCTAGTATTTAGTATTAATCACTAAATGAATGCATATTGTGAGATGAAGTGAAATATATCAGGTGAAGAAATGGGGAGGGGAGAAGGAATGGGAGTAGGGCAGATGCAAGCGAGCCACATTCCAAGCACAGAGAACAGAAAGTTCAGAGAAAAATCAAAAGGTTCGTTGTAGCTCTGGAACCTTATGAAAGGAGAGAAGCTAGAGACAGTATGAAACGCCTTGTCACTTTAACTCATGCTCATGTCACTTTAACTTCTTGCTCTTTAGTTTTGTTGACCATGAGTGACCTCCAAATAGGGATAATAACAGTACTTGTATTTGTTGTAATGAATGGGATTAAATGAGAAAAAAAGCTTTTTTTGGCGGGGGTGGTTTGAGACAGGGTCTCACTATGTAATTGAGATTGACCTGGAACTCACTGTAGCCCAGGCTGGTCTCAAACTCATAGTGATCCTCTTTCCTCAGCCTCCCGAGTTGCTGGGATTACAGGCATGCGCCACCAGGCCTGGCCGAGAAAAATAGCTTTTAAAACAGTGTCTGCGTATGAAAGTACTCGATAAATACAACTATTATTATCTAATACAGCAAAACATTTCAAGAAGCATAAGGTAAGTTTTTTGTGGTACTTGGAATAAGGTAATATTTTAAAAGGTGCAGTTGTGTTACTTAGGAATAACTGAGTTTTGTTATTGGAGTCATTATAGCATTAGCAGTTCTAACATCTAATAAAGAAAAAAATGAAGGTTTGTCTTTCTGGCAGAAAGAGTAGTTCCAAATATGAACAAGTCGATGTATAATTAGGACATTTCAAACTAGTTGTTGTTAGATTAAAAATCCTTAATGCTAATCTTGATATTTCATCTTCAGAAAGTAAGTTCATTTTGCTGTGAACCTTAAAACTTACTGAAAATATTTTTAGATGATGCGTTCACTCTGTCAGCAATTGTAATAAAAGCTTTCTGAGCTTTTGTTTTTCAGTAAGATGACTTTATTCTGAGTTACTGCTTTTATTTTTGTTACAGAATATTAAATTGTGTTAGAATTAGGGAATAATGATTGATATTGAACAATTCTGTTATAAATTTTTCTGTTGCTATTGTTATCTTTTAGACACAGGAGAAAGAACATCTAAAAGTGAAAGGCAAATGAGAAGACAGGTAAGCAATTTATGTTCTCTATTATGTACCATCTTAATGATTTCTGAAATTCTAAAGTGAGACAGATACAAGATGCAGAAGTCTTCCGAAGGTTACTGGTTGACTGCTGCAGCTCTGGTAGGGTTAGTTTTTTATTGTGTGTGTGTGTGTGTCCAGAGAAAGTGTCTTTGAGAAGCAGACTCACATATTCACTACTCTATTTTTGATGGTACCTTTAGTAGTAATGCAGTATGGGTATATGTATGAAGCTAGCCAGTGCTATGTCCCCAGCCCAATTACTTACAGTTATCAATCTAAGCAGTAAGACCCTGTGGGAGTCCCTGTGGAGGAATCCAAATCATAAGGTCAGTTGACAAGTAGGGAGTCAGAACAGACATGAGTTAAAAATTAAATGATACCAAATTACAATCATTTTCAGTAATTTTTACAGGAATATTGCTTCTAGGCCATATACTGCACTGATTTGATATTGCTTAGGTGGATATTGCCACTTAAGTCTTGGTTTTATATGTTAGCCTTCTATTTAAGACTGTTTATGTATGTTAATATGATTGATTAAGCTATCCAGTAGTTTTTCTCTGGGCCTAAGTAATCTCTTCTTATGTATTTTTTCAATCTAACTGTAATTTACTTGTTTCCATGTTCTGACTCTATCTTATTTTCAAGTTTTTAATGACCTCTCATGTAATGACTTCTATCAAAAAATTTTAGAAGTCATATTTAGAAATACATATAGAAATTAGGGAGTAATGTATAAATATTTAGAAATACACAAAAATATTTAGAAATATATTGAAAGTCTAAGTAAATAAATGAGTTTTTAGTGAAGGAAGTGTGATATTAAAGGGGATTTTTGCCAGAGGATTTTTAGGTAGGTTTGGTGTTTTTTCATGTACATAGCAGCAGATTAGTTGGAAGTTAGATTTTATAGTTAGTTTTTATTTCTTATAATCTCAGCTTTCTCTTTAAAATTAAGGATTGTGGCCAGGCGTGGTGGCGCATGCCTGTAATCCCAGCACTTGGGAGTTTGAGGCAGGAGGATCTCTGTGAGATCAAGACCAGCCTGAGCTACATAGTAAGTTTCAGGTCAGTCTCAACTTCATAGTGAGACCCTGTCTCAAAAACCAAATAAATAAATAAATTAATTAAAATAAAATAAAATTAAGGATTGTGTTCATATTCTAAAATCTTAAGTATTTTATGATTCTTAGGCACTACCTCCTAGAACAGAGAAAATGGCTGTTGACCAGGACTGGCCTAGTGTTTACCCTGTTGCAGTGCCTTTTAAGCCCTCTGCAGTGCCTCTACCTGTTCGGATGGGTTATCCAGTGAAAAGGGGTATTCCCATGGCAAAGGAAGGAAATCTAGAACTTCTAAAGGTAAGAAAAATTGCTGGTTCCTTGGCTAAAACTAATATTAAAATATATTTTAGGGTTCAGAACATAGCAGCTTTACATTTTTGTCCAGGTGATAATTGTTGACAGATAAGAATGTAATTAATCAGTCATATGGTTTCTTTTGTGATCTTTTCTCTTGTATCTTCTCTATGTTGTATCCTTTAAATGGAACTAAGAAAAGTGATATAGAATCTTAGAATTGGGAAGTAAGGATCCACTTTTAAAGCTGACATTCCAGAAAGGGTAGGATATTATTTAATAATATTGTTATAGTCCACCAACTTTAACTTCTTTATTGCTTAAAGAGAAATATGACATTTTAAATGTTTCATTTGATAGCATCTATATGATTTATGAACTATAGGTTTTTGCTTTTTTTTTTTTAAAGAAAATACAGATACTAATCTGGGCATGCATATCATAGATGGTTCTTTTACAGTACTTACAATAGAAGTTATACAGTGGGAAATGAATTCTTTCCCACTAGATATGACTCTTCTTGAAAAGCAAAGAGAAATTTGCTAAACTATGATGCTAAAAAATGAGACAGGAACAGAGAGAAGTGTTGTTTTCCTGCTAGAGATGTATAAAGGAAATTTGGAAATGAAGACATTTCAAGAGACACAAAAAAGCAAACATTGAGGAAAACAAATCTTCAAATGAAAAGAAAGGAACTGAACATCTTTGAAAAATGTCATTGAACATTGACAAATTCAATAAAAAGTCAATAATTAGCCAGGCGTGATGGCACATGCCTGTAATCCCAACACTCGGGAGGCTGAGGCAGAACTATCGGTGTGAGTTCAAGACCAGCCTGGGCTACATAGTGAGTTCCAGGTCAGTCTCAACTACTTAGTGAGACCCTGTCTCAACGCCGCCCCCCCCCGCAAAGTCAACAATTAGAAGAAGAAAAAGAAAAATATCATTGTGTGAGAGAGACTAGCAGTACATTTCTTACAATAATAATTATTTATTCATGATGGTCATGAATAAACACAAAAATCTAAACATCTATTTCTGTTGATATAATTGAATATGCTTATTAACTGAGCACTTATGCTTATTAACCTAGAGTACTTAGAACAGTGCTTGTAAGTCCATGTAAACATTAGGTATTATTATTTCTTTTTATAATATTGAAGTTAATATTTCATGTTTCAAAAATAAAACTACAGAAAATCAAGCTATCCTTTAGTCCCAGTGTTCAGTTCCTGTTTTCTCTTGATTAAAATATTTTCTGATAAACACTGAAAATACCAGATGTAATTCTTGGAGTCACATTCATTTTGTTCATGTTTTCTTTCCAAATGAGTCTAAGCAAAATTTTCTCTTTACATGTTTACTATTCAGGAAAGATGGTAGTAAATGTTTTTTTTTTTTTTT